CATGGGAAGGGGACATTCAGGTTGCTGGACTTAAGAACCTGAGGGGAAAGGGGCCCTGCCCAGCCTGCTTGGGGTGGGACTTTGAACCCTGTCTGTGGTGTGCTCCCACATTAACACCAAATCCCTCCCCTCCCTTTATTGAAAGTTTCTTTGCGACCTGGAGACTCTGTGCATGAGTGGGAGGCCTTACCGCTCAATACAAGCCGGGTGGGGTGTGAATTTCCCAGGTTATTGGGTGGGGCTCAAGATGGTTCTAGGTTGGATGGACGGAGAGGAACCCCTAGATCAGTCATGGCCAACCTGCAGCTCACAAGCTGCATGTGGCTCTTCCCCCCCTTTCCTCCGGAAAGTGCAGCTCGTGAAGCTGCCCCCACCTTCCTGGGTGCAGCCATTCAAAATGGCTTCTTCAAGATGGCAGCAGCCTGATGTGGCCAAAAAGCCTTTAACTGCGTTTCTTAAAGGGGCAGTCCTTTTTTTTTTTTGGCTGCACAACCTAGGGGTGAGCTTCCTTTTTTTTCCCCCCCCCCCACCCCCCCCCCCCCCCCCCTTCCCAGCTCTTTGCACTATATACACAACTATTTTGGCTCTTTGCCTGTTACGAGCTGGCCACCCCTTCCCTAGATACGGAACCCAGTCCTGGCTGCTGCTGGCGCTACCTGGCAGAAGGTCACATTCTAGTGCCAGCTTATGTCTGGCAATTGACTGAGAGAACCTCGAAACGGGTAGCCAGAATGGGCAGGGCTGGTAGCCCTAGCCTCTGTCAGGGGCTGGAAATGGATGACACGTGAAGATTCCTTGTTCTGTTCCCTCCCTCTGGGGCACCCGGCATTGGCCACTGTGGGCAGAAAGGACACTGGGCTGGATGGGCCTTTGGTCTGACCCTGCCAGGCCATTCTTAACCTGATGTGGGGGCACAGAGTATACTGGCAGGGTCACAGAGGGGATGCTGGAGAGGCTCAGCCCTTGATAAAGTGATGACCCTTTGCCTTATGACAGGGCTACTCAACACGCAGCCCGTTTGTCTGCGGCCCATAGTGCAGTTTGGGTTTACGCAGGGCTCAACACATGGCCTGCGGGTGGGATCCTTTAAACATGGCCTCCACTGGGAACACGCTCCACAATGGCGAGGCATCTCCCAGGTGGGGTGAGCACTTAGAATCATTGAATACTAGGACTGGAAGGGCCCTTTAGAGGTCATCAAGTCCAGTCCCCTGCGCCCATGGCAGGACCAAGTACTGTCTAGACCATCCCTGATAGACATTTACCTAATCTACTCTTAAATATCTCCAGAGATGAGGATTCCACAACCTCCCTGGGCAATTTATTCCAGTGTTTGACTACCCTGACAGGTAGGAAGTTTTTCCTAATGTCCAACCTAAACCTCCCTTGCTGCAGTTTAAGCCCATTGCTTCTTGTTCTATCCTCAGAGGCCAAGATGAACAAGTTTTCTCCCTCCTCCTTGTGACACCCTTTTAGATACCTGAAAACGGCTCTCATGTCCCCCCTCAATCTTCTCTTTTCCACACTAAACAAACCCAATTCTTTCAGCCTTCCTTCATAGGTCATGTTCTCTAGACCTTTAATCATTCTTGGTGCTCTTCTCTGGACCCTCTCCAGTTTCTCCTCAGTGAAATGCGGTGCCCAGAACTGGGCCTAACCAGTGCAGAGTAGAGCGGAAGAATGACTTCTCGTGTCTTGCTCACAACACATCTGTTAATGCATCCCAGAATCATATTTGCTTTTTTTGCAACAGCATCACACTGCTGACTCATATTCAGCTTGTGGTCCACTATGACCCATAGATCTCTTTCTGCTGTACTCCTTGCTAGTCACTTCCCATTCTATATGTATGAAACTGATTATTCCTTCCTAAGTGGAGCACTTTGCATTTGTCTTTATTAAACTTCATCCTGTTTACCTCAGACCGTTTCTCCAGTTTGTCCAGGTCATTTTGGATTATGACCCTTCCTCCAGATTAGTCACAACCCCTCCCAGCTTGGGATCATCTGCAAACTGAATAAGTGTACTCTCTATGCCAGTATCTAAATCGTTGATGACGACATTGAACAGAGCCGGTCCCAAAACAGACCCTGGCGGAACCCCACTTGTTCTACCCTTCCAGCAGGATTGTGAACCGTTAATAACTACTCTCTGAGTATGGTTACCCAGCCAGTTATGCACCCACTTGAAGATGCAAGCGGGTGGGCTGTCTGGAACAGATGGGTACAGGGTGTCAGCGTTTCTAGCCCCCAGAGAGGAGGTGCCAGGAGTGCCTGGGCATTGTGGGACGTGCTTTGTATTCATGCTCATCAGTGTGAAAGAAGCCAGCTGCATGTATATTTGCATGTACATGCAACCGCACTTAAGTTGTGGCCCTCGGCGTGTGCTGTGAGTATCATTGTGGCTCCCGGGGCTGCCAAAGTTGAGTAGCCCTGACTTATGAGAAGGTCCAAAGTAAGACTGCGATGCCAGCCCAGGCCAGTCACTAGAGGCTCTGAGAGTCCATGTTTGTACTTGGGCTGCTTCCCCAAGAGCACGAAGCACTCTGCTAAAGAGCCCGGGGCATGGTGACAGGGCTAGAAAATGCACCCGAGTGTGAGCTCAGCTTGGAGAGCTGCACAAAGAGAAGGTTGAGGGTGACAGTGCAGAAGCAGCGACATGGGGAACCAATCTTTGTTAGTGGCTCTCTGTCTAGGAGAGAAAGTTGAACACAAGCCCATGGCTGGAGGCTGAAGCGAGACCCGGGGAGACTAAAAGTAAGATATGAATGTTTAACAGTAAAACATCTAACTGTTGTGACAAGCAGAGGTGAAATTACGCAGGTACACCCGGTGCGCCACTCCGGCAAGAGCTGGCTGAACTGTGGCAAAAGCCAGCAGGGAGCTAGTGAAAGAGCTGGCAGGTACCCGGGCTGCAATAGGACAGCACCTGAAGACATGTGAAGTGACTTTCACTGCTGGCACCAGGTGAAATGGTGGATTTCATGGGCGATTTTCCATCCCAGGCAATGTTAGAAACACCTAAAAGTTCTGCTCTAGGAATTACCTTGTGGCAGTTTCCAGGCCTGCATTACACAGGCGGCTTACTACATAATCAAAGTCAGTGATGATACATGGGGGGCACCCAGGGGCAGACTGGCAATCAAAATAGGCCCGGGAAATGGGTTGAGAACGGCCCACTTTTTCAAAGAATTTTTTTTAAATTTACTCTTTGACCTTCATTAGCCACACACCCTGACCCCCTTAGCCACACACCCTGACCCCCACACACCCTGACCCCCACTAGCAACACACCCTGACCCCCATTAGCCACACCCCTGACCCCCACTAGCCATGCCTCTGGAGGTAACACTCTCGGGGCAAGAGGGGAACATGACCAGAAGTAAAAGGCGTGGCGACCCCTCTCTAAGGACTTTTCCCACCATCCTCCTACCAACAGAAGGGGGCCCCCACCAAACCCCCCTCATGCAACTATCCTGCAATTGCATTACCCCAATGTGTGTGACATTACCTCGGGGGGAGGGGCTGGGGGAAGTGTCCCTCTAAGAGTTTCCTCCCATGAGCAGAATGAATTTTGTGCTGTGCACCAGTGCTGAGTTCATGTGGCTTGTCTGGATGTGCCACTGTGGCACCTCTACCCTTTCCCTCTGCTGCCATGTCTCTCCCCCTTGCTCCATCAGCTCCCCTGGTGCCTGCTGCCCCCCAACCCCTCACCCTCCTGTATGATAGGCTCAGATTTGGGGTCAGGTGGTGCAGAAGTGTTATGATGCTGCAGTGAAATGGGGGTTTGGTCCTAATTGGGGGCTTGTTGGCCAGGCTTCATTTTTAAATAAAATATTATGTCAAACTCAAAGGCTGTGTCTACACTGCACCCATTTTCCGGAAAAGGGATGCAGATTAGACCACTCGGAATTGCAAATCCACGGGGGATTTAGATATCCCCCGCGGCATTTGCATTTACATGGCTGCCGCTTTTTTCCGGCTTGGGGATAAGCTGGAGAAAAGTGCTAGTCTAGACGCGATTCTCTGGAAAATAAGCCCTTTTCCAGAGGATTTCTTATTCCTACTTTCCTACTTCTTATTCCCCCATTCTCCTCATGCCCCTGTGCCCTCTCACATGACTTGCTCCATCCCTGCCTTCCTCATGCCCTCCCCTTCTTGCAAGCCTTCTCCCCTCCGCACCTCCACTCGTCCCTCTAGCCCCCAATGCCCTTACCCTCTCCCCTCCCAGCATCACCCTGTCCCCCTCCCACTGACACCTCCTCTCCTGCCCGTTTCCTCATTGTCTCCACTTGGCCCCCTGGCATCTGTCTCTCCTCCACCCTGTCTATTGGTGCCTTCCCCTTTCTTCTCCTGTGCTGCCCCCTTCCCTCAGGACAAGCCCCCTCCTCTCCCACCCCTTTCCCCTATTTTCCCCCTCCCCCCACCTTCTGCCTTCCAGTTTGTGGCGCTGGAGTCTGTGATCGGGCCCCAGAAGTCCCCGCAGCCCTGGCCCCAGCTGCTTCCGGGGCCCCAGACCACTTGCTGGGCCTGGAGCTGGGTCGCGCAGTGCATGGGCCATGACGTCACGCCACATCCGGGCGTCTCCCCTCTCAGCTGTTGCACGGTGTTTGAGCACGCCGAGCATGCACTTCCTCAGCCCCACCGTGCCCCGTACATGGCCACGCCGGGGGATTGAAAGTGCAGGGCTGTGGCGCCCCATCACAATCCCCCTTCTCCTCCAGCAGCCGCCAGCCGGCCCTTCCGAGGATGGCCCACCGGGAAATTCCCAGTATCCCGCTGGGCCAGTCCGCCCCGGGGGCACCAGCCATGTGACTGCCCCTCATGTGACTCCTCCCTTGTGCCACCCCTAGCCCGGGGAAGGGCTGCCCTGAGGAGGGTTCGGGTCTCAGGATAATTCCCACCTCAGCCGGCCCTGCCACTTCCTGCCTGTGCCCCCCCCTTTCCATTCCCACTCTTGTTCCTGCTCCACCCTTTTCTCCAAGTCCCCATCCTATCTGCCTCCTGCCCCACCCCCACTCCATCCCTTCCCCAAGCCATGTGGCCTGGGGGGCTAGCAGGGCAGGAGGAGTTGCTGCCCCCTGCACTCAGCAGTGGCTATAGGAAGCAGAGTGATGTGGTCCCAACCCACTGTTCTGCTGGCTCCCAGCTGCATTGCTTCACTGCCTGCCCCACCCAGCTCCCAGTGCCAGGCCCCCTGCTAGTCACCAGCCTCTCCCCCCAGGGCTGGGGGCTTGTGACCCTTTGTTCCTCCCACACACACACGTGGCCTCTGATCGTGATGACTCCTCTGACACTGGAATCTGTGAACCTACATCTTGGCACCTGGGCCCAGCATCCAGCCCCTCTCCACCCCCAGCTTGCTGGAATAAGGCAGAAACCTTACCCCCCAGAGCTCCAGCTTGGCCTGGAAAAGCCTGTCACCGCCAAACGCGACGTGGGCGTCAATCTGAGAGAGAGAGAGAGGGGGGGGGGCTGCTGTCGGCAGAGCTGGGGAGCGAGCACAAAGCCACGCAGCCAAGGGCTGGTGTCACCACTCGGACCTGCCTTTGGTAATTGCACAGAAGCTGAGAAAGGGCCCCCGGGCAGGTCTGTTCCCCTGCACTGGGCAGCACTTTGCACTGAGACTAAACAGCCTGATACCATGATGTTTGCACCCCGCAGGCCAGTCCCCCGACCCCATTGCAGGCCTCTGTAGTAAGGATCTGAAAATCCAGCCCCTGCCTAGCCTGAAGCGCTCTGTGCAATGTCAGCCCTGCAGCATCTGAAGTGCACTGCGTGCTCTCCAGGAGGTGCGGCTGGGGCAGGATCCCAGGCAGATGCTGCATTACACAATCATGCATTAGCTTGTTATGTACAGATTGCAGCAGTGGGCTATGGAGCCTCATTAAGATCAGGGCTGGGAGCGCAGGAAAAGGAGTCTGACTTTGCGCAGAGAGCTTCAGGGGAAGCAGGAGGTGGATGATCTGACCCTTACTACAGAGGCCTCAACGCCAAGTTATCAAAGATGTGTGTGGAGGAATTGTAATAAAACCAAATGTGACAAACCACCCAAAGGCAAAACCATCATGAGAGCTGAAGTGGAAGTTGAATGAAGAATTGTTTTCCTTGCCATGACGACACACTGCACATTAACTGTTCCCTGCACCTTTCCTGGCAGCCACAGTCTAAAGCAAGTGAGGTCAGAACCCTTCCAGAGATGTTAGCAATGCCAAGGCACCCTGGTACCAGGTTTAGGCTGGGCCAGGCAGGCTGGGGGTTAAGGCTTCAGCTTCCCTGCTACTATGAGAGGGCTTCCAAACCAGAACCACTCGTGGGAATCAGCCGAGAGAGCGGAAGAGTTTCAGGACACAGAGGGTATGTCTAGACTGCAGCAGAGGGATGCAGATTAGGCTGGGTGAAACTGCTAATGAAGCGGGGATTTAAATATCCTGTGCTTCATTAGCATAAAAATGGCTGCCCCTTTTTTTCGGCCCAC